ATGAACCATGAAGTAGTTTGTTTTGGGGGGCAGATGGTGATAGTTCGCAGTTCATGGGTAGCAACAAACCATGAACAATCATGAACCACTGGTTTTCCAGTTCGTGCCCACCTCTAGCCACAGACTAGACTACTACTTCTTCTTCTTCCTCTTCCTCTTCCTCTTCTTCTTCTTCTTCTTCTTCTTCTTCTTCTTCTTCTTCTTCTTCTTCTTCTTCTTCTTCTTCTTCTTCTTCTTCTTCAAAGACACCAGACATGGTCAACATTATAAAAACATTGACTGGTATTATATAACAGGTACAAGTTTTAAACGAAAACCTAAGGATCTGTTAAATATTGCCACAATATGTATGCTTTTCCTAATATTGCCGTTTTTTGTAGGTCTGATAGTGAGATTTCTGAGATTTGCAACTGCTTACAGTACTGTGTGAAATTCCTTGATATTGTTCTTGAAGCCCCAATGACTACGGGGACCACTGAGGTGTGTTTCTTCCAGAGGCGAGATGTTTCGATTGCTCAGTCTCTGTACTTTGTTAGTATTTCCAGTTCTTTATTTTCACATCATATTGTTCTCGAAGCCCCAATGACTACGGGGACCACTGAGGTGTGTTTCTTCCAGAGGCGAGATGTTTCGATTGCCCAGTCTCTGTACTTTGTTAGTATTTCCCAAAAGATCTTGACCTCCTCATTTTCTTACACTTTCTCTACCTAATGTTCCCACGGGTTTTTGGAGGCCGGCAAGTTGAGTGCACTAACTTTGCCACACTATCATGTCTAACTTTGTAATCTGTTTGTGCAATCTTTGCATATTCACAGATGAGGTGTGACACAGTTTCATTTTTTTTCTTGGCAGATTCAACATTTGCTTTTAGCACTAATTCCTTAGACCTTAGCTTTCATTATGTTGGTTTGCAGTGCTTGTTCTTGTGAAGCAAAAATCAAGCCTCCAGTTTATTTCTTAAGGACCCCCAGTTTTAGCCATGCTCATGTTGAATTATGATCATGCTTCCCATCAATATTTTTCGGGTATTGTCCATGTAGTGGTTTATTTTTCCAGCTGTTTAATTTATTTTCAAATTGTTGTTTCTTATATTGAGCCTTTCTTTCAGTTGTTTAAAAATATTCTCCATTTTCACTGCCTTAAGTAACTTTTCTCTGTTTGTACTGATATAATCATTTAGGCTCCCCCCTTCTACTACCTGCTGTATTTGCAGAAATCAATGGCCTCCATTTTTTTGTGGGAAATATAATCTGCCCACATCACTTTTTGGAGGTAGTGTGTGATGCATGTTCATTAGTTTCTGTGTTTTTCAATCCAATTCTTCTAATTCATTTTGAGTCCAATCTATTATTCCAGATGGGTATCTAATTACTGGACTGGCCCATGTGTTTATGGCTTTGATTGCATTTCCCCCATTTAATTTTGATTTTAAGTGTTTCCACTGTCTTTTGATATATTCTCTTTCTGTCAGTTCTTTAACTTTTGTTCGCACAGTGTTGTCTGCTTCTACTATTCCAAAGTACTTATAATTTTCATCACTTGAAAGTGGTTTTATAATATTGTCATTTTTTAACTCTATTCCATCTAGTTTTTGGATCTTGCCACAGTGTATAGACAGAGCTGCACATGTGTCAATTCCAAATTTCATTTGGACATCTTCACTTGCACTGTGATTAGCAGTGGTTCTATCTCTGTGGAACTTTTTGCATATAGTTTAAGTAAGGAGATTAGTGAGATATTAAACAGCAGTGGTGGCAAAGAATACCCCTGAAATATTCCTCTTTTTATGTTAACATAACCAGTTTCTTCATCATGGGCCATTAAGGTGGTTTTCCATTTTTCCATGTTTTTCTTGAGGAATTTCTGAATGTTTTTACTAATCCCAAACATCTTTTGTGCCTCTTGACTTTTTAAAGTTCCCTTTCTGTTCAGTTGGATATAGGGAGTCTTCAGTTATTTACATATAGATCTTGCAAGTCTTCCTTTGAGTGGCTTGAACATTGTTGGAAGGCATGTAATTGATTAATAATTGCTGGGTTCATTGCCCTTTTGATTATCTGTTATTATCAGAAATATGCGACCTGTTGTCGTCCAGTCTTCAGTTGTAGAATTTTGAAGTAAGTGGTTAAATTGCACTCCTATACATTGATGGAGACTTGTTAGATGCTTTAACCAAAATCACGTCTTTCAATTTTCTTTGCTGTAGCTGTTACCCACTGTTTTAATTCTTCCATAGATTCAACAATTGTTTTCGTTTCTAGGTTTTATATATTTAGTATAGTCTGGCTTTTACTTTTCATTTTTAAGCTTTGAATCTTTCAAGTGTTTTAAGTTGCTAATATCTGCACATAATTTGTTTATTTTTCTTTCCAGCTGAATTTTTCATTTTGGGGTGTCATGAGTTTCCTGGGGGTTTTGTAGCTTGTAACCAAGTTCCATGGTTATTATGGTAACTGTGCTATCCATGAGCTGGTTTGTTTCCTTTAGCGGGTAGGCTGGGATTGTTCTGATGAAAACATTTGCATCATTCAGTAAATCTTTTACTGGTTTACTTTATAATTGGTGCAAAGTGGGGAGCCTTTGTCTCTCTGTATTCTGGATAATATGGGTTACTATTTTTATCCTCAGTGATGTTTGTCGTTCTGTCAACTCATAATTTCTGGGTTGTCCATAAGTTGCTCCTCTATTGATATGTTTTCTTCCACTATTGTTACTACCTATACTTTGCATTTGTCTTCCATATTATGGTCATTGTTCTGTGTTGATTTTGCCACCTTTTCTAGTTCTTGCAAATCCAGTTCTGGAATCACTTTACTTCAGATGATAAACCTTCTCTGGTCCATTAATTGTTATTCAGTTATGTCACTATTTAGGTGTTTCCTTTTCCAGTTTCCATCATTCTTTTTTTGAAAATCACAAGCTGTTGGGTTTGCCTCTTAATAGCATTTCATAATTTCTCGATTTTTGCTGAGTGTCCAAGTTTTGTATTTACATTGTTCCAGTAGCTTTGCAGTAGTCTGTCCTCATCCCTCATCAGGGTCTGCTGAGCCCTGTAGCCCATTTGTCACCAGATGCCCAGGGCTATATGGTCCTTGTTAACCTGGGTGATGATTAGTCCGGTATGGATTTCTGTTTATTTCCTCTCATTGTAATTGATGGATGATGGATACAGTTGGTCTGGCTTCTCAGCTGAGACCTATCTGGCATGGGAGATCCTTCTGCATAGTTCTCAACCTCACTGAAGCACGCAAACTCCTCCACCTCAACAAGGCCTGTGCCCATGGAAGGGTTGTTCTTGTTCAAAAACACCAGGCACAGTCAAAATTATAAAAGCATTGACTGCTATTATGTAACGAGGCACAGTCAAAATTATAAAAGCATTGACCGCTATTATGTAACAGATATAGGTTTTAACCAAAAGCCTAAGTATCCGTTAAATACTGGCACATAATATATGCTGTTCCTAATATTGCAATTTTTTTTGTAGCTCTGATGGTGTGATTTCTGAGATCTCCAACTGCTTACAGTTTGATCATCATCATCATCATCATCATCATCATCATCATCATCATCATCATCATCATCATCATTATTATTATTATT